ATTATTTAATGACTAATTTAAGTATTTTAATTCTAAGAAAATCAATACTTAAACATAACTACAATATTGGTTATTGCGAGGATTCGTGCACAAGAGACTCGAATAAAATGTTATTTCTAACTTTTCGTAGAACTATTCATATTTAATTAAAATTATTATTAAGACCGTCCAATATTGAATTTTATTTTTAAATTAACAAATATAGACATATTATTGTAAATATAAGCAGGAAGTCGCCCATCACAACGTTAATGTACCTACTAGACGTCTAGACTGTCTAGACTTAATTGCAACTCCCAACTTGCAAGGTGATCATTAATCGTTAACTTACTTCGCCGTTATACACTTATACCTAGTGTTAAGTTAAATTAATTTGCATTTAAATATCAGTTCCGCGATAGCTGTCCTTCGGCACGCACGTGCGTACAGTGCGCTAGTCTTACCGCTCAACGTGTACTCGCTTATTATTTGGTTTTTTTTTCTTTTTTTTTTTCTTAAGCCGGTTAATCAAAGATGTGACTTAGTCTTAATGTACATATTTGCTCTTCTCTTTCAATAAAGTCTCGTGCACAATAACAAACGAAATTAATATTCATATGCAATATTGTCCTAGCGCATACGGTCTTATCGGCGACCGCCTCGGCGGTCTCGATATTATTATATAACAATCTAATTACGTTATCGCAACCCGCCGTCGTCTTCAATCGTACTTATCGTGACTGCTATTATTTTTTCCAAAACTAATTAATAATTTATTCTAATCAAAATGTCTAACAGAAACAACAACAACAACAACATTAATAATAAAGATAAAATGAAGAACACCGTATCCCCGGTAACTATCAGTAAAAATAAAACCTCCAACTCATCACTTGGTACAAGTAATAATCAACCAGATGTAGGATGGATCATAAAACAATCTAAAAGAAATCTCTCCAGTTCTACTAATTCTGAACCAAACTCTCCACGTGAGCAACTTTCCAATACAAAAAAAAAAATATTCAAATCAGCAAATCGTTATGAAGCTCTCGCTTCTAACGAAGTTCAAGATTCTAATCAGCTGAATAATCAATTCGACTTCTCTCTCAATGATTCTACTGAAAATACTACCACTAACATGCAGACTGATTGTACAAATGATCCACAAATTAAACCTCCTCCCCCAATTTTCGTAAGAGGCGTCGAGGATTTTCCGGAGTTATGCACAATACTTATAGAACTAATCGGTGTTGATAACTTTGTCTGCAAATCATCTACAGACAGACTAAAAATTCAAACTAGCACTCCAGACGCATATAGGTCACTAATACGATATCTAAAGGAAGAAAAAGCCGAATACCACACCTACCAACTTCAACAAGACAAACCTGTCCGAGTCGTAATTCGCAACTTGCACCCATCAACGCCAACTAGTCTTATAAAATCTGAATTAGAATTACTTCAATTTGAAGTGAGAAATATTACCAATGTTCTACACAAAACAAATAAGCACCCATTACCTCTTTTTTTTGTCGATCTGGAACCCAGCAGCCAATCAAAAGATATATACAAATTGACATCTCTTTTACACACAAAAATCAAAGTAGAGGAACCTTTCAAAGCCAAAACTATAAGCCAATGTTTAAATTGTCAAAACTACGGACACACCAAAACGTACTGCGGTTACCCACCACGGTGCGTTCGCTGCGGCGCATGCCACCCTTCATCCGCCTGTCCAAATCCACGTGATACTCCACCAATATGTGCACTCTGTCAAGGGAGCCATCCAGCCAGTTACAAAGGATGTGCAGTATACAAGGACCTCCAACGACGCAAGAAACCTTCCACTAGTAATCATTTCTTTTTATCAGATAATATTAGATATAAGTCATCAGTTGTAAAAGATAGCCACCCTACTAATGATACTAACCCAAACCCCAACCCATCCTATGCTCAGGCCACGTCAGGCCAATCCTCAAATCAACATCCGCCTCCACCGGTAGCTGATATCAACAAAACAATAACAAGCTTTCTAGAGGATTTTAAATCTCTAATTAATCCTTTAATATCCCTACTTACTAAAGTAATAACTAGTCTCTTAGAAAATAAAAAATGATTAATAACACACACACAAACAAATCCCTTTTAATTTTATTATTCAACGCAAACGGCCTCAAAAATCATGTAATTGAAATCCAATCAGTACTACAAAACAAACGTATTGATATAGCATTAATTACGGAAACACATCTTACCCAACACACTAATGTACATATTCCAGGTTACAAATTACTGAAAGCCAACCATCCAGATAATACGGCTCACGGTGGAGTCGCCATATTAATTAAATCCACCATAACATTCCAAATTCTTCCCAATTTCTGTCAGAACTTCCTACAATCCTGTGCGATTTTAATTAACATAAATAATATCCCTGTAACAATTGCTGCACTATACTCACCTCCAAAACATACTGTTACAATTGCAGACTTTAATAACTATTTTTGTACTTTCGGCAATAATTTTATAGTGGGAGGCGACTTTAATGCCAAACACCAAAGTTGGGGATGTCGAACGAATAACCCACGTGGTCTTGTCTTACGAGATGTCGCATGTATAAAAAAACTTAAAATACTTGCTCCCCCAGGCCCTACTTACTGGCCAACTTCTGCTCAAAAAAACCCAGATATACTCGACATATTTATCTCAAAAACCCCATCCAATTTATTTCACTCTATTGACAATATCTTGGACTTAAACTCCGACCACTCTTCAGTCGTATTAACACTTAACGAATATCCATTAATTCGCCTGGAACCTCCCAAACTCTTCAATGCCACAACTGATCGTTACAAATTTCATGATCTTGTTAACCAAAAAATAAAACTGAATGTTAAATTAAAATCCATGGAGGATATTGACTCAGCAGTAAATAGCTTCACAAATATAATCAAATCAGCGGCATGGTCATCCACCTCTGAAGCAAACCATTCCTGATTATACCAACCTTCCTTGCCGAGTCATATACGTACACTTATAGTGGAAAAACGGAGAGCAAGAGCCCTGTACCAACGTGACCGTCTCCCTTCTCTTAAACAAAAATATAATAAATTGGCCGACTCTCTCAAGAAAGTTTTATCTAAAAATAAAGATATCTCATTTGCAAATCGCTTGTCTAACCTCTCGACCAAAGACGGGAGTCTCTGGAAGGCAACCAAACAAATTCTCCAATACAAAGCCGCATCACCTCCAATAAAAAACCCAGATGGTAGCCTTGCTTATTCTGATGCTGAAAAAGCAGAATTATTCAAAAATCATCTTCATGACATTTTCCAACCTAACCCTGAAACATTCTCACTAGCTACTACTAACTCTGTACAAATGTATCTTGACTCTCCTCTTCCTATTTCTCTACCAGTAAAACACTTCACGCCCAGTGAAGTAAAATTTACAATACAAAAATACTCACTTAGGAAATCCCCAGGATTTGATTTAATTACAGCGGAAGTCACCAGATGCCTACCAAAACGTGCAATCATCCTCCTTACCCACATTTTCAATGCTTCCTTAAGACTCTCTTACTTTCCCCTTCTCTGGAAATTCTCTAAAATCATCCTAATTCCAAAACCAAACAAACCACTGGACTCCTTAAATTCTTACAGACCAATTAGTTTATTACCGTTTTTCGGCAAAATACTGGAAAGGCTTTTGCTTAAACATATCCTACCTATCATGTTAAATAGAAAAATCTTACCAGACTATCAATTTGGTTTTCGTGCTAAACACTCGACTATTCACCAAGTCCATAGAGTGGTTGACGCTGTCTCTTTTGCCCTCGAAAAAAAACGTTACTGCACCTGCGCAGTTCTTGACATATCGCAGGCCTTCGATAGAGTGTGGCATGAAGGTTTACTTTACAAATTAAAACAATTCCTACACCCAACATACTACATTATACTTAAATCATATCTCGCAGACCGACACTTCCAGGTCCATTATGGCTCTTCAGACTCTAATATAGCAGGTATTGCGGCAGGAGTTCCGCAAGGTGGTATCCTCTCCCCAATGCTATACAATATTTATACATCTGACCAACCGACCACGCCCAACACACTAGTAGCAGACTATGCGGACGATAAGGTCATAATATCATCCAGTCCAGATCCTATTATAGCCTCCACAAACCTACAAAACCATCTTTCATTAATGGAAGATTGGTATAAAAAGTGGCGTTTTAAAATAAATCAAACCAAATCAGTACATACTACATTTACACTTAGATTAGCACCATGTCCAGAGGTATCGCTTTTTGGTACTCAGATCCCCCCATCCCCAAACGTTAAATATCTCGGCCTAACTCTTGACCGCCGTCTAACCTGGGCTCACCACATTAAAGCCAAAACTTCACAATTAAATTCCCGCTTACAAATAATCAAAACCCTAATAGTCAACAACAAACACTCTAAATTAAATATCAAACTACTTCTTTACAAATCTCTTTTAAAGCCAATTTGGACGTACGGCTTACAGCTATGGGGTAACGCAAAAATATCAAATCTAAATAAAATTCAACGATTCCAAAATAAAATACTAAGAAAAATCACCAACTCTCCACTATATGTCTCAAATCACTCCCTGCATAAAGACCTACATATGAAAACAGTTCAGGAAGAAGCTAAAAATTATTACAAACGATTCCACCTACGCCTTAACTCTCATCCGAACGAACTTGTAAAAAATGTGGCTTCATTAACCATTCCTGGTAATCCTCCTCGTCGCCTTAAGCGTAAATGGTGTAGAGACCTACTTAATCCCTAACAAAAAAAAAAAAAAAATATAATAATAATCAAGTTAAAACAAATAATTTAAAAAAACATAAGTGTCATCGGTGGGTGGCTTCTTAGCTCATAATTTCATGTTTTTTATTGTGTCTCAGCTCATACTCTTATTGTGCCGATTGTGTACAGATTGTGTATTACTAATAAAGAAAAAAAAAAAAAAAAAGCATTTAAATATCAAACATGGAGTGGAGTCAAGATAAAACTGTGCAACTTATCGAAATCTATCGTTTACATCCTGTGTTATGGGATTGTAAATTATCTGAGTATAAACTTCGAGAAAAACGACACGACGCTTGGAACGAGATCGCCAATTCGTTAAATGTAGAGAAGGATGAAGTTGAAAGAAAGATTAAAAACCTTACAAACCATTTTTCTAGAGAGTCCAAGAGAGTTAGAGAAGAAAAAATTGCAAATACAAAATCTGGAAGTGGGGATTCGACATATGAAGGAAAATGGTTTGCATTTAAGAGCATGGAATTCCTGTGATATAGGAACAAACCGAGAACTACGGTGAATACAGAGGTATGTACCTATTATTTTTATTTTACAAATAATGTTAGTGTATAATCATAATAATATTTAACTGTAACATAATATTATGTTTAGTAATATAGATTACAGTAAATATGCATGTATAATATATTTATGAATATAAATATAAATAAAGTGTATAATATTTTAAAATATATAAATAAATAAAAAGATAAATACCTACATTTTAAAATTAATAAATAAGTACATAATATACCTACTGATATTTACAAAATCTAAATGTAATAATAAAAAATATTATCAATATAATCAAATATCATATTCAATAAATGGCTAGACCGCGAATTGTTAAAATAATAAATAATATTTTTTTTGCAATAAAATTGAATAATAATAAAAATAATTAGTCATTTATGAATTTTCATACTGCCAGGATACCCGTCCTTCGTTTGTTAAAAAGTATTCCCTAAATTCATTCCTCACCTCTGTAGCATCCAGCGAACTTGTTCGTGCCACCCTGGGAAAATTATTAAACGAAGTTTGCTCTAAATTATCTCTTCGCCAAGCTCCTGGTATAGTTACTCTAGTATCTGAACATTCTGAATCTAAAGTACCAGGAGGACAGTATACTTTTTTCGAAGGACTATTTCTTAGGTAATTATGTAAATAAATAGCTGCAAGAGTAACATTTGTTGCATTTTCTGGGTCTAAAAGTAATGGTTTCCGGAAAACTCGAAAAACAGAGGATAATATTCCAAAGACATTTTCCGATGTTCTACGCGCCCTACATAAACGGTAGTTAAAAATACTATTGGCTGACCCCTTTTCCTGAATTCCTGGATATGGTTTTAAAATAATGCGCAAAAGCGGAAACCCATCGTCACCGACGAAAACATAAGGGGATTTTACTGTTCTACCTGGAAGAGAAACATCGGGAGGCAAATTAAGCGTACATAATTCTATGGATTTACAAAATGATGTATTATTAAAAACTCCTCCGTCAGATATTCTTCCCTGACATCCTACGTCAGCATAAATAAAGTTATAATTTGCGTCAACTATAGCAAATAAAACAATGCTGAAAAATTGTTTATAGTTGTAATAGTCAGTATAGTTGTAATAGTGCCACTCCACTCTGGTGCTTGAACAGCTTTGTGTTTTCCGTCCATCGCGCCAACGCAATTCGGAAAATTCCATTTTGCTTCATACTCTCTAGCGACCAGTCTCCACTCAGATTCATTTTTCGGCATCTAAAATAGAAATTATAAAAATGAGGCAAGTCGGTAGAACTGTTCTCAAACAATGAGCTTATATACCAACGAACCGCATTTAATTTTTATTTATATAGAAGTAATTATTATATATTATATGTAATTTTTACGTAATATATATATTATACTTGTATTTGGTTGGGGGCAACTGGTACATGTCCGAAGTAACTTCACTTAAAATGTTAACTTGTAGACATTAATGCCTACCTTAAGTTTTTACAAAAAATATAAATATAAATATTTTTATTTATGGCTTTAATACCTACTACACATTTATTTAAATTTTACTTTATGACTATTTCTTTTTCTTTTTCGTATCTAAATAAACTATTAATTTTTAGCGGAGCGATGAATGTATTGGTTTTACAATGATGTGTGTTTTTTTATTTTTGTGTCTGTGTGCATGATTAGTACCATATTAGACGATTAGTCGAAATAATGCTTCGATTTTCAACTTCAGTATCTTGTTCAACGGGAAAGTGAATCTAGTTGGTACTTTTGGGAGATCAAAGTTTAAAACTTCCAATAGTTTTCCTAAGCGCACGGAAAAACAAAATAAAAATTAAGGAAAAACGGGAATTTTTACGCAAAATCGGTTTTTTTAATAAGCATTTAAGAGGACGCCACACCCGCATGTGTTGTCTCCGTCTTACAAATGTACAACATAGCAAAAACTCTTTTGCGAGGGACAACTTTTCTCGCACCATATTTGTTGTAGAACTACCAAATTTTCACAGCACTTAAAGAAGAACTTTATCTGTGCAACAGCGTGTTCTTTTTTCCAATAACATATATACAATACAAGTTATTTGCTTCTAAACATTTGGGTTTTTAATTTGCTTATAAAAAATATCTTCGCTCAGAATCGTTTTTCTTATACAATGATATTATATCATTGAATTCAAATTTAATACCATCCTTTACACAGTGACCCACTTGAAACCTACTGTACATCAAAGCGAAATCCACTTACCCACCTTTTTTTACATTTTAGTTGAACGAAAATAATGATACTGAAGAAATGATTAATGTTGTGACAGAGAGTGTGATTTCAAAAATTAATAATAGTTCCATAATTTCTGAAGATTTGTCAATGACAACTAGAGAATCTAGTAATAAAACTAGTGGTGGACAAAAACGATCTGCTGATGAAACTCAAATTCCGTCAAGAAAAAAAAATAAAGATGAATCAATGGTAAGAAATTAGTAAAACATCAACTAAATTTTATAAGAATTATTTTTTGTTTTATACCTACTTAATGACTTTAAAAATAATTATTTACTCTACATATAGGTAAATGAAGCTTACTCTATAATGAAAAAACTGTTCAACGAACGAAATAATAGAAATGAGTACCACATTTTTGGTGAGCAAGTGGGGTGTAAAGTTAGTAAGGTTTCAACTAATTATGCAAAAATCACTGTACAACATCTTATAAACAATATTTTATGGGAAGCTGAACTTGGCAAGTATGACAATCCTCCTGTAAATCAGTTTAATCCTAATACAAATTCTAACCCTCTTACTGTCAGTCCAGCTTTTAATAATTATAGCTATGGGTTAATTCCATCTACATCTACTCAACATCAGAGTTTTAATATTCAGCCATTAACAGAAAATAATAATTTTTCTACATCCTCGCCTTCATCCTCATCTTTAGAACTTGCTCCTCCTGGGTACCCAACAAATAGATTATACTATGCCTCCACGGAGTTCAAAAGCAGGGGAAATGTATAGTAAAAACTATAATTGCTAAATATTATTACTTTTATTTTTGTTTTTTTCTTTCAAACTATTTTTCCTATTAACATAATATAGAGGTCATATGTTTTAATATTATTTTTTACAGAGTACCTGTAAAATACCAGATATTATTTTATTCTGTATTTCTGTATTATTAATAAAGTGATGTGTCTTAATTTTTCATACAAGGTGTATTTTAAAAATATAAGATTATAAAAATTTAGTTATGTTTGTTAGTTGTTTAACAATTACGATGTTACATTAAAAACTGGTGTTAGTAATTCATTTTGTTTATTATTTATTGTTATTACTTACCTTTACATATTCCTTTAAAACATCCACAATTGCTTTACATACTTCTGGTACTATTTTTGAATTGGTTTGTTTTGAAATTTTAAATAAATATGATAGTGAATGCCGAATGGTAAGAGTCGCCTGTTGCCAAGAATCTCAAAGTTATAGCCAATCGATCTTGAGCAGGTATTGCTTTTCTAAAATTAGTGTCAGTTTTCGTGATACTAGGAATTACCATGTTTAATAATTCATTAAACTGAGAAGGTGACATCCTAAAAAAGTTTCTGAAACCTCCATTGCATCTATATTCTAGATTTAATATATCAGTATCATCTGATATTAAATCGGATAAAAGATGACTTGTGTTGTAAATTTCACGACTTTGAAGACTAGGTCGTAAACAGAATCTCCGCGGTTTCGCTTTTTTTTAAATTTTTTTATTCGCAATGTATATGAACGCCGCGGCAGCCAATAATACGTCCTGATCGCACGACATTTTAATGAAAACTAAATACACTATGTAATGAAATATTGAATGCTGTTCTTTTTGTATAATTTTTAACATTTATTTCAATACTTATTATATTTTAACATACATTTTAATTAATATTTGATTTTGTACAGTATGTCAATATATGGTATGTATTATACTCTTACGAGTTCACAATGAAAATAATGTATTTAGGGGATAACACATAAACAGGGGGGGGGGGAATCGTACATTGAACTCACTGTGGTTGTTCAGAAGTTTGTGTGGTTTGGCGGCTCAGCTCTAATGGCGGCGGTAGGACGGTAGACGGAACGTTGACGGTAAATCTTCCCGGACAAATGACGTATGCACGGCGGTTAAGGTTCGACTGGCTCGACTCGAACGGCACGGCTCAGCGAAACAACACGTACAAAATACTGTCTCACTACACATTCGGACGGTGGCGGATGACAGGGAATTGCTGGGGAAGACCACGTGGATCACCGTATTACGGGGTTACCGTCCGGCGTCCGAGTCTCGGGGCAGTGTGCTGGTGTTTAACACGAAAAATTGGTCCGTCTTACAATATAAAATATTGTCCGGTACCAGATTTCTCGTATTACAGCGGGGAGAAGACTGTTGTCAATCGGTGGCCAGCGGCCTGTATTTCTGTGGTACCATGGCGGCTGGTCCCGATGAAAATTAGTCAAAATTATGATTGACCTTTTCTTTCTTTTCGATGGTTGCTGTTGATTTTTGACATCCGTGTAAGGACGTAACTTGAAGTATGGAAGGCGGTGATTACGAATATGTTTTTCCCGAACTTCTAACTTGTTTCTTTCTTGGTGAAAACTCAATTTTCTTAGCGGGCGGCGTACCGGTTTTCTGGCCGGTGCACGGCAGCGCTATCTGTTTTGCGAGTTATTCACGTAGGCTGTGTTGTACAGTCGGCCGGCGGCGTATTATTATTGCGTGAGCGCGCGGCGGTTGTTGTATTCGTTTGGGTGATGGGACAATACTAGAGTGCACCACGTGTTTGGTGACTCGGTTTTGTTCCATTACAACTAAATACTTGATAAACTAATACTGATTTATATTGATAATATTTTGTTGCTGGTAGAATGCCGATTGTAGTGGGGACGGGTAGGCCGAGCGGCCTAGCCACATGCAGTGGAGACGCACCTTTAAGCTACAGACAACATTGAAGGTGTACCTCGTTGTTTTGTAGACCATTTACAATAGAGTTTATTGTTTTGTTTTTGGACTATCCAATTGTTTGGAAAGACTGCATATTGATTTTCTTTTTGGAAATATCCAATAAGCCACTAAAACCAAGGTGAGATATATTTCAAGTATAATCTATATATATATATATATATATATATATATATATATATATTATATATATATTATATATAAGTAAGTGTACATTTTGAATATATTTTATAACTCAAGATCCACCAAACCGATTTCGATAAAAATTTCAGCGCATATTAAGATTGATATGTAGATGTTTTCTGTGAAGTTTTTACGCAGTGCGATAAGTGGTTCCGGAGTTATGGTCTCTTAAGGGCACACCTGGCGACATGGCCAAAAAAATAAAATAATAATAGTATATTTAGTATAATAATAGTAATAATAGTATAATAGTATATTTTGGTTGCTATTGGTTAATCGGGCATGTTTGTTGATTTGTACTATAATTTTTGTCAATATATATATAAAATTTAATGTTTGTGTGTAGATTAGACTTCTGGGAAGAAGATTGGCTAATTTAAAAATGGTTAAATTAGGTTTTTTTTATTCATCTGATTTTAGTAAGGTTAGGTTATAGGTTAGGATTTTTTATTAATTGATTATATTAATCCACCATAGGTAGAATATTGTTACGTACAGTCTTTCAGGAATCCAAAAGCTGATATACTTTTTATTATAAACAATAGTCAAATTAAAATAGCAATCAAATGTAGTTTTATTAAAACCAAATAATAAATCAATATAGTCGTGGTAATTTGAAGTAGCGTGAATTGACTCGTTGTAGCAGCTGCTAATCTCCGTGTAGTTGTGTATAATGGCCCGGTGGCATAAGCGGATTGATCGGTCTTGGCGGCTCTGGTACATCTAATCTGTATTGTAGCCCTGGCCTCTTTATATACGGAAGCGGCATCCTTTGAATTGAGCGGCGCGTGGCATGCAGGCGCCCTCGGTAAGTTGTAGTGGTTTGGTGCGTCTATTCTAGTCACAACCACTTTTGGGCGCGGTCGACGAGGTCGCCCTTCACATAAGTGATTCTTGTTATTATGAGCGTTTACATGAAACGATTATAATTGCGTAATCCCATTACACCTCCCCACAATATTAGAAGTGTTATGTAAGTATATAATGTAAGTATTTTCCCTTGAGTACAATAATTATTATTATCTTCCACCAATTAATTATCATACTAAATCTATATGAATAATTGTTAAAATTGCTACACACATATGCAACCATACATTTTTTGTTTACTTAGGATAGTCTATTATATAACTTGGGTCTCTAGTATTTTCTATTATTCCTGCTAATTTCTATCATTTTCCATTACAGTGTTCATTCATGAAAAGTTCGAGGTTTCTGGTTATTTTATTTAAAGTTTTATGATCGTAACAGTTATTTAATCGTTTGTTGGCCTTCAATATGTGCCAGTTGAAACACACTGACTGCATCTTATTTTCTTTAATGTTATATATATGTACTTCTGTGCTCAATATTTTTTTAATTCTTCAATAAATCTAAAATAACATATCCGTATTAAATCTAAGTAAAAATTCTTAAATAATATTATCCCTTCACCCCTGAAATAATTATAAAATATATTTTTTTTTATTCTTTGTATGAGTGATCAATAGATATAATCCGTCGAGCGATAGTATCTTCTAGTATTTTTTCCCCACTTCTATGCACACGGATCTCTCCGCGTTCGGATAAGTAATTACCGCGTGAACTGGTATCATTGCCCTGCTTAATATGTATGGGTTCAATGGCATATCCATTTTCCGGTTTGCTTCGTGAACATGTCGATTAAAGCAATCTATACGAATACTATTCCCTCGTACATATTGGTGGTGAGGGCCATTTAATAGTTCTTTCATAAGAATTCGACTGTCTGTAGTGTCAGTGGGTACTCCGCCGATAGTGGTGTTTGTTCGCTCATGATGTATTATATGCATTTATATATATTTTTTATTTATTTTTGTTTATTATTTTTCTTCTTATATTTATATGAAAACAGTTAAATTTATTTATTACTTATTTATTTTTCTAAGTTATATTGCATTTATTTTGTATTTATTATTTATTTTTATTAATATTATATTACGTATTATTTTGTTTTGTACGTTTTTATGTTATGTTTTATTTTATGTGTTTATTTATTATTAATTATTTATTTACTAGTATATTACGTATTTATTTTTTTGTTTTGAACGTTTTATATTATTTTTATATTTTTATTGTATTTGTTCGAAAATGTGGTCGTAAAGTTCACGTCTATAAATCAATCGATCTTATAATTAAACATATTGGTATTATTGATCTAGTTGGGTGTATCTTATTACAAATTGGTAGAAGATATTCAGCTAATGGAATCGTCACCAGTGCCGGGTTAAGAGGATGTCAGCGCACTATTTGTTTTCTCTCTCTGGCCCAAGCGCAGCATAGACAAAACGCATGAACGCAGAATCATTTTTTCTATGTTTTAAGTAATCTTAGAGTAAAATCACCTATTACAAAAAAGATAGAGAATAATATTTTTGAGGGAATGTCATATCGATTTGATATTTTATTGTTATTTGACTTTGTATTCGACTTTCAAAATAAACAAAAAAAGTTGTACATTAAAATGATGTTTAAATTGTTTTGAGACAATATTTAGACAAATCGATATGACATTCCCTCAAAAATATTATTCTCTATCTTTTTTGTAATGGGTGATTTTACTCTAAGATTATTTAAAAACATAGAAAAAATGTTCCTGCGTAAATGTGTTTTGTCTATGTTGCGCGTGGGTCAGAGAGAGAAAACAAATAGTGCGCTGACATCCTCTTAACGAATAGGTATGCCGCCTGAGCTGGGGGCAGATTTTAAAATGCCGCCCTTTACAAACCTGTACCCATCATAAAAAAAAATAACGTACATAACAACAGTGTTAAAATTGTTTAATTTATATATATTTATAAGCATATCGTAAAATCAGTAGTTTTAGTATCATAAAACTATTAGTACTAACTACTAAGTATAAACATACAAACACAAGTTTAAATTTACAATTTTTTTCTAGCTTTCTGTGCAGCAAATTCTTTAACGAAGTCATTCCAATCCTTACTTTGTAGGACACAATTCTCAATAGTGATATGATTGAATAAATTTATCGGCAAATCAAAACCGAAAAAAACAAATAAAAACTTACATTCTGCAGATTAGCAAACTATTAAACAACAATATTTGATAAATGTCAAAATTTAAAAAAAATATTTTAAATAATCAAAGTAATAATAAAGTTATTATAGCATACATTAAAAAAAAAAAAAACTTTAAAACATTGGATTTAGATAATTGGATACTAGTATACAACAGTTAATACAAATTATTGCATAATATTATGTTAAATAATGCTGATCCGCCATTTATAGAAAATAATCAAAAGAAAAATGTAATCTAATAATTAATAAAATACAATCGTAATCTGAAGTATTTAAAATTAATTATAAATTCGTTTTAAAAACCTTAGCATAAATATTAATCGCGACTATTCATATTTTATATTCTTCCTTTTTCTTTAATAAATAGGTAAGTAAACACTACTATATAATATTATTAAATATGTAAGTTCTTACCTTTTTGAATAAACTTTGAATTTTAGGCGTCTGAGAAATTATCAGTTTATCTTTTTTATTTTTTTCCTCGGCTCTTTTGCGAAATTCAGCACCACTTAACTTTATGCGTTTTCCACTCATATTGATTGATGAAAAACTGCTATTAGGGAATATTAATCCCGTTTTTTCAATTTTAAATAAATATGACTTTACATTTGACGAGACTACGAGTACGTTCTACTACCACAGAATAAACAGAAGGGAATCGAAATACATTTTACATGGGTTCTTATGGGAGATGATAAAAACACGTCCGACATATTGGAAATTCTCCAGGGTAGCCGTATGTCGGGATATTCTTATTTGTTCATCATTTATGGCAGCACTGCTTATTTTATAAAAATTAAAAGTTGCGGCTTTTATTTTTCATTCATCATATTATATTTATATAAATGCACAGAATACTACATTTGTGATTTTTATTTTTATATATCTGATGATACAACTACAATATACAAATTATAATAAGATTATATTATAATAGGTATATTTCTGGCACAAGTTGCTATGTCATCCAGTTACACCAAAAGTATGCCATATGACATAGTATAAACATGACATTTTTCATCAGTGGCGCTGAACCTTTTTTAAACCATTGGGGTAAACCCTATTTGTGGATACCCCCTACCCTCACACCTGAGTCAAATTAAGACTCTCCCCCGGACAAGTTACCCGGTATTGTCCCAGGGCCAGCCTCTTTTCACGAAACATGTTTTTTTATATGGGTACTTATGATCAAAATTTTTTTCAAAATATAAAATTATTAGGTATACCTACTATTAAAATATTTATATTAGGTATGTAAGATAAATTAATATGTTATAGGTATAATATATAAATGTTTGTGATTTCAAGTCCTTAATGTGTAAGCTTAGTTAAATTCATTGTATTAATATTTTATTTTTTTCAAATAGTGTGAGTTTAAATGGAACATAAAGTGTGATGAATCGAATAATGTATCAACGCACAAAAAAAACAACTTATAAAAAACAACTTTTTATTAAACAAAAAATAATAATACTTAGACATAATGATGTATTATACATTAATAATAATAATATTAACAATAGCATAATACTTGAGTAGCGTAATGCATAAGTAGTAAAAACAAAAACATGCTTACATATGTTTTAAAATTGAAAGTTTTCTATGTTTTATTACTCTTTCTGACATTAAACATCTATTTAAAAATTTAATAGAAGAAAAGATTCTAAACCGAATAAATAAATTTAATAAATAACTATAGTTAAAATTTTCACATGGATGTTTCAAACGAGTATTAATCAGTAAATCTCTTAGTTTGGCCCCAACATTGTCTTCTGTTGCCAAGGAAGAAAAATGTTCAACAAATAGACTTTCTAATTTAAAAATGTAATTATAAAACTCATCATGAGGTAATGTTAACTTTCCAAATGTTGAATTATCATTTGCAGTAGATTTAAAAAAAGATAAAAGAAAGGATGGTTCAATATTTTTTTGAAAATTGGCATAATTTAAACAATCACTGCAAGTATGTTTTTCGAGGCATTTTTTCATAAGATAACCACTGATGTAAGTTAAAGCGTTGGTTTCTGGGATATTTAATTTTCTATAGTCAACTGTACCAATTTTGATGGGATTAAATTTAAAAATACTTTGTGTTACATTACAATTAGTTTTACTGGGATTGACAATTTCATTAATTGAGGCTGACATTTCATTCATCTCATTGAATTGACATAACACATTATCTAAGTCCTCAATGCAATTTGCATCAGGAGAATGCCTAAAATATTCAACACAAAAAATCTTTTTGAATGCCCAAATAAACTGAATAGGGGTTGGGTTAGTGTTGTTACCGAGTTGTTGTTCCAAACAAATTTTCAAGGCAGTCTTGATTTATACGACCTGTACAAAGAGTATAATCTTTGTTTTGGTTAACGTTTAATGAATTCCACAGCATTTTCAAACCAGATATTGATACCAACCAACCATTTAAAAAGTTTACTCGTTGTGTCATGTCAGTTGCACTTAATTTACTAACAACCTTCATGTTTTTGAACATTTCAGTCATTTTGTTTAAGTGATCTAATTGATGTGAATTATTATTGAAGGGGTCATTAAAAATTTTACTATTAGGTGTATCAGAAGAATTAAAGATATCAAAAAGTTTATCCATATCATTAATGAAATTGATTGTAGGTATTGAATTGTTTGGTAAAATACCAATATTCAATGCTGTAGACATGCCTGCAGCTACACTATGACTAAATACTTGGGTTGCCAAACGAACCTTCATTTTTTCGAAAGGTCCTGGATGAACATGCGAATATGTTAATTTTGGAGCAGTTCGCAAATTGCAATTGGAATCAAAACCGTAAAATTCATCTAGATGCTTTATATCTATCAAATCATTATTGATTTCAAAATTATGTTTAAAAAACATATTGCGGGTGGATTTCAATAGATGTGGCGGATCAAAAATGTAGATTATTTTTTCACCTTCGACTACAAAATATGGCTCATCTGGAGAAACACCATTTATTTTGGAAAAACTTAAAAAATTTGAACCTTGATCTGTGACCAAACTTTTGACATTAATATTTATATTATTTAGCCTGCGAATAGTTGAAAAAATTATATTATTTAGATCAATAGCGGTACAGCTGTTAGAAATTAAATAATAAGCAATTGGTTGCTTCCAGTTACAGTTGATTCCTCTTATCATCAGAACAAGAGCATGCTTAGCAAGATCATATGTTCTAACAGATTTGGATTGATTAAAACCAACTATTAGATCTTTTGATACATTGTAGTAATGGTGAGTCTTAATTGACATTTCGTCTACACAAAGAATGCAATTTAATGCTTCAGGAGAAAAAGTTTTGGTTTTAAATGATAAAAAATGAAACATAAAATCATTAAGGCCAGGTTGGAATTCATATTTAGAAGTGATTTTTCTTAAAGTTCTTATAGTTGGTAAACAAAAATTTTTTTGAAGCAAATGAAAAACGTTAGGACTAAGAAAATAAATAGTAAGAGCAAACTGCTTAATTTCGTTTGAAAATCGTTTTTGTCGAGGACTTTTATCTTTATTAAGAATACTATTTTTTACCACTATAAATAAAGAAGGTGTAAGATACTTTTCAATCAGACGTAAGATATTATCAACCGTGTCTACCTGCTCTAAAAAGTTGTTTAGCTGGTTATTAGATATTTCTAATTTTTTTATTTTTTGTTCAGTCTCTGCAAGTCTCTATCAAGTCAAGATAACATTTTCTTGGCGTTTTCGATGATAAATACCCTGGAGTTTGGGTACTTGCAGTTGCTTCATATATATCTGTAGAAGTAGACACTGAAGAAGTTGAAACAGATGGACTAACATATGGACCTAAAGATCATAAATTAATAATTTTAGTGACTCTATAAACAATTTTTAAAATATATATATCGGCATGTTTTGGTGATGCAGTTTTGAGCAACCTGGTAATTAGTTTATAGCTAACTAAGTTTGTTCGCTCAAACTGGTAAACAATTTGCTGAAAACTACATTAGTGTATTACCAAAACATGCCTAATATTTCAGATAAAATATAAATGTATAGTAATAAAATAAAAAGGTTGTTACCAGGGGTTGAACAGGATAGCGGGGCATTAATTGAGCTTATACTAATATCATTATCCATCTGAATACTTTGGTTTGACTGAATACATTCAGATTCAACTAAAGAATTATTTGCAGACTGCAAAGCGTCCATTGATACAGGTTTCATGAGAAATAATGTCGGGATTGCTGTCGATTTAAGCTTTTTTCTTGATTCAAACATATGGTTTTCAAAATGTAATGAGCATAGCTTATAAGTTTTATGCAACACATCAAAGTCTATGGTTGGTAAATATCTTGCTTCACATTTTAAAACCCAAGAGGCACACCTATAAAATAACACAGTGTACTATAGGACTCAAATTTAATACCTGGATCATTTGTGAATATTTATGTTTATATTTATGCACTTACCTTGAATGATCTTTAGGAAATTTGAAAAATGATATGTCAATTACGTCCTTTTGACCAAATACTGGTGCAGTATGCCAAAGAGCATCTGCAGCCAGAACTCGTAAAAAAATTAAACATACTAGACAATTCAAGCGCAAACAACTTTAAAAATGGTATAAATTAAAATTAAAATTTGAATTTGGCGAATGAAAACTAAAACTCGGAAACGCAAAAAACATGTGGACCGTCGTGGTATACCGCTTGAATTTTGAAAAAAACATGAAAGTAAATAATGATTATTGTAATCTTGTGATTGTCTGAATTCATCAGTATGGCCATAAACCACATAACAATAAAAAAAAATAAGAAATATCTAATTTATGGCAGCACTGTAGAATTTCAATATGTCGGACCGTTTTAAGACTATGCTTTCGATTCCCTTCTGTTTATTCTGTGCTACTACTACGAGACTCGAAAGACGAACAGATAACCGAACCTATAATCACAGAATAATATAGAATAGACACTCGATCAGCTGTGAGGGTACGGTAAATGTATCCGTAATCTAATAGAACGTTAGCAACGAGTATCCCTCTTTGTTACGGAATTTTTATAAACGATTAATAACGATAAATAATTTATTTTTCATATTTAAGTATATCAATATTAAATTTTGGTAAAATGAATAAGGATTTTGTTTTAATATAAATTAAAAACTATAATGTAATTTTACATTGGTTTATTGTTAATGAAATAATATATTGTATTATTATTCTGTGGACTGATAATATTGATATGATTTATTTAAATGATAACATATATCACGCCCCCTTAGAGACCGTGCTCAAGGCCACAGTCACCCGATTTTGCCAATACACAGAGTGTCTATACCCTGCTATAATATAGCCATACAGGTATGAAACAAACACGACTATATTTATTGCTGTAAACATATTGTGTACAATATTTTGAAAATAATACGATAATATGAACAAAAATAGAAATGCGTTGCCGCTTCGCCGCTTAGCCATCGGTCCGAGCGCTATAATAATAATAATAATATGGTCTTTCTATTTTACTAATAATATATAATACGCTGAACGTTCACGTAATAATTCTGTGGTAGGCGATTCGATATAAATATCTACTATAATATTACTGTTATTATTTGTTATACACATTTTTCAATGAATAATAATTCTTCCAAAAAATTAAAATACATTAGAAAAATTTAAAACTTTCGTTTTCACTGTTAAGAATTTGCCGCCCCTAAAAAATTGCCGCCCGGGGCAACTGCCCCTTTTGCCCCCCCCCTTAACCCGGCACTGATCGTCACTAATTTAAAAGTACAAATTATAATTATATTAAAACTTAACTATTTATATATATATTTTTTTTTTAATCGACTTGTACGTCGTTGTAATATTTTTTAACATTATTTCTGTGAACAGTAATGCCTCGAAGTCCACTTTGTATAATTACGTTTTCGTTTCCCACACTGCTATGACCTCGTACGGTCTTAACCATATTGGATCGAGTTTTGTTCTGTGATTATTATCTTTTAATAACACTAAATCTTTTACATGTATTTCTTGTGGTTTTTCGTTTTTATCGTATCTTTTCTTAATTTTTATTTTATTCTTGATTAATTGCTCTCTCGCTATCTTATGCGATATCTGCATGTCTTCTTTTAAATTAAATAGATAATCATCGTAATTGTAACGTGATTCAGGGTTGGCCTTCAAGTTAATCGGTACCTCCAATGTACGTCCGTAAACTAATGCGTATGGTTGAAAATTAGTAGATGTATGTACTGTTGAATTATATACGAAGAATGCAAAGGGTAATAAATGATCCCAATTATTTAAATTCTTATCTACATAATGGCATCGTAAATACTCGGCTAGCGTCCTATGAGCGCGTTCTACGGGGTTACCCTGCGGTCTAAATGGACTTGTGTTAACCTTTTCTATCTTTAATATTTTACAAAAATTTGCAAACGTTTTCGATAGGAAATTACTTTCTTGATCCGTAAGTATTGTTTCTGGTGTGCTGTGTACACAAACAAAGTGTGTAACAAAGGCTTCCGCGACAGTATTTGCCTTCTGATCAGGAATTGGACCTCCTAAAGTATAAAGTGTTAAATCGTCCTCCATAGTACTATATCCTCCATACTATATCCATAAATATTTTTTCAAATGGTTTGGAACTTGTTGACGTAATTGGTATGGGTTGTTTTACGTGCCGATTTGATACCTTATTAACCTGACATGACGTACAATTCCTTATATATTTCTTAACGTCTTCTTTCATACCCTCCCATAAGAATTGTTTTTTTATGCGCTTAATGGTTTTATTCACACCTAAATGTCCGCCTAGTTTTGAATCGTGAAATTGTAATAAAATTATTGCTTTTTCTTCTTCACTATATTCTATATTTGCACATATAATTATTGCTATACCTGTTTTGCGAAATATGTATCGCAACATCGACCTTACTTTTTCCCATTCTAAACCATCGTGTTCACCTAGCTTGTTCATGGCTAATTTATTCAAATTGTTTTCCTTACAAAATAGTTTTAGATTGATCAAAGATACATATATTATGTTTTCGTAAGTGGCCTTCTGTCGGTCTTCATTTTTCGTTACCAACAATATTATAAACCTGTTTTCCTGTTTTACGAAGGTTTCAACAATATTGGGGAAATCTAAATACCGAAAAATTTAAACCTGGAACTATAAATGAGTTTATACAAAAAAATGTAAGTGATGTGCGTTCTGATGTAATTAATTTTGTAGTTGATTATTTACAAATTAAACAACCAAGGGAAGATTATAGTGAGTTGTTAGAATTGACAATTATTTTTCTTGGGGGAGTGGAGTGCCCCCTCGAGGAATTTCTTTAAGAGTACCCGGAGCCATCCATCATGCCAGGTGGATGGCAAAAGCTATATACTGTTTGAAAATATTTTTATTCCGAAGTCAATTTCGTTTAACACAGAAAGAAGAAATGTCTATTGCCAGTGTGTGTGTCTTCATTATTCGACTGTACATAAAAGCCTAATTTGTTGCACCTATGGCTTCGAGAGCACCTTACCAAGATCTAAATTTTTGAAAAGATTTAATAAGATACCAGTCTATTGATAAAAGTATATCTGAAGTCACAATTAAAAAAATGTGTGGCCATTGGTGGTATCTATCACCCGAAGCAGCTGCGTTATCGTTTTTCGATCCACACGTACCAGTAGACACAAAAAGAAAAATGATTGCAGCTCTTAATATGGATATAGAAGAAGATAATATAAACAAATATGTTTTGAACCCAAAAGAGTCTGTTGGTATATTAAATAAAGGCCTTGAAGATTTTATTTGTGTGAGCTCAATGCAATTCTTTAAACGTTTCAAAATAAATACTGACTTTCTTACGACTGATCCATCAAAATGGAACGATGATGAACATTTTAAAAAATCTACTGCCATTGTCACCACCATAAATGTAGTCAATGATATTGCTGAAAGAGGAATTAAACTTATAGAGGAATACAATACAAAAATTACCAATGATGAAACTCAAAAACAATATTTGCTCCAAGTTGTGTGTGACTACCGCAATAAATACCCAGACTTCAAGAAGAGTACTATTTTACATAAAAAGTTTTAAAAAAATTGAATCTGAGTAGGTATAAACATTAATAAAATAAAAAATTTTTTTTTAAATATTTGTTTTATGAAAAATGTATAAGAATAAAAAATACACAAAATGTTATTTCAAAAAAATTATGTTCTTATACTTTTTTCGATACAGTCATTATTATTTGTGATATACTTGCAAAACATATCAAACTATGTTGTTTTCTACAAAACAGGGATTCGCAACTTCAACCTTTTTGTGACACGGGTTAATATTGTCCGATTCTCCTAAAACTTTTTATACATCGTTTTTATAAGTATTCAAACTAATTTAGGTTGTATAATTAACACATTTTCAAAGTTCAGTTTTAAGGGTGGTCCTAGTCTATTAGGTAAGAATTTCTAATTATGTCTTTTCTTAAATTATACTTTTTAATAATATTTGAATACACTTAAAAACGATTTAAAAAAGTTCCATGTGAATTAAACAAGTTAAACCCGTGCCACAAAAGAGTTGAAATTGTCTATATCTATTTTTTTTTATGAAAATAGCATATTTTTCTTAGATTTTAAACATAGTATATTAAATAATGATTCTATACAAAAAAAACGATAATACATAATTTGTTAAGAAAAATATTTTATATTATTTATAATCTTAAACATTTTTTCATAAACTTAATATTTATCTCGAAAATTATATTTTAAAAATAATAATTATACGAATCTTGCAAAAAAAAAAATATTATTTATTTTGTCGATAAGTAAATATTAAGTATTAACATTAGACTATTAGTAAAATATTTGTTGTTATAAAATTACGCTAAATAAAGACACCGATAATGAGACAATATTCATATGATTATTATTTCAACGGTATTTTCTAATCTAAAGTTTGAACATTGACCGATAAGTAATATTATGACCGTCTGTTACTAACTATTAGAGTTGAACACTAGTCTAAACTTTACAGTCTACAGTGCTATATCAGCGTATCACAAACCCGATTGCCACTACAAAGTATATACCAATGCCATATACTATATACTACCAACCTAATACAGTAATACCTTCCTATAGGTTATTATATATATATACTAAATACAATAATACTATGACAGCAAATATATATAAATATTAGTTTGTTTAACCATTTCCAAGAATGTCAGTAGTATATATTTGTGTGTTCTGAGCACCTTTTTTACAGGGAGATTTCATCATTTCAAGGGGGCATTTCTACATGCTCCACCGTGTAACACATAATCTCAAAAACCCTAATGTGTGTTCTGAGCACCTTTTTTACAGGGAGATTTCTTCATTTCAAGCGGGGCATTTCTACATGCTCCTCCGTGTAAAGCCGGATTCCCACGACTGGTGTACTTGCCAAGTACACGAATAATCACCATGGCGAGTGATTTACAAATATAGTGTTCCGACGACTGGCATATTTGTCAAGTAGGCCAATACTCGCGCACTTGTGCAAGTAGCCAAGTAAACTGTTCCCACAGCTGGTTAAGTTATTACAAGTATTGGCAGTGGGGGAGGTATTTAATATATAATTTGGATTTATAAATTAGTTTTTAGCAGTGTAGTCCTACTATTTATCCTTGTGGTCGTGTAGTAAATAGTTTATAAAGCCGAAAAAGATAAATAATCTTATAACACACCATGAGTGACGACGATAAAGTATTGGCTTGTGCGTCATTTATCGTTATGTGAGGCGAATACTTAAATTTGAAAAAAACTACAAAAAGCCCAAAAAAAAGAAGGTGGTGGACGTCACCTTTAAATAAAAGCCGCAATAGGTAAGTTTATATAACATTTTATGTACCTAGATATTTTTAGATATTACTTACAAAATGTTTAAGATATTTAAAAGTATTTAATATTCATATTATTAATTAGGTAGGTACCTACTTATAGTTAATATTTAGACTATTTAAGCTATATTTTAGTATTTTTAATTAAATGCGAGTGCCTAATCGTAAGTACTCAATACATTCTCCATTTAAAAACTATATCTTTAGCAATATATTGCATATAATATGCATATTATATACATTATAGGTACACTAATTATGTTACCTATTGGTACATACAACAAATACATAGATATTATATTACGTTGATTTATATATAGGTAAAAATAAGTATTACATGTAATGCAGATTATTACTATATGTTTATTGTTTACATGTTATAAAGGTACAACGCGACAAATCTAATCGACGATTTGAGGCGTGAACCATCTGGTAAATTTGAGAATTTTTGCCGAATGTCAGCTACAGATTTTTAATTTTTATTATGCAAAATTGGTCCAAATGTCCAATGATCCGAAAATCAGATACCAATATGAAAGAAGCGATCCCTGTACAGGGGGCCGATTCTGCTAACGCGTGATCGTCGTACTATGCGCAATCCGCATAATTATCAAAGCGAATGTAAGGCGTATTGCTATTCCACTACGGCGTGTTCGGCAGACGCGGCAGAATGGACTCCAATTATTACGCCGAAAACGATATGAAAAGTCTGTCGTTTTGAGCGTGTATTGCGTGATATGTTATATATATTACGATTTCGTTATCAATTAGTTTGTTATTTATTGATAATATTTATATTATCAAATATAAAATAATATGTTTCTTTCACTCATTCTTTATGTACCTACGACGAAACCTTACTCTTATTTCGTAGAATAGGTAATCTTAATATTTATTCATTAATCATTATATTATAATTTATAACGTAAATAATTGTAATATAGCTTCTAGACTGTAGTGGTTAAAAGTACAATTTATTCGTCATTTTATTACCTATACAGGCTTTACATGTACAATGAATAATAATTTACAATTCAATATTCGATTGTTGCTGGATGAAGAAGTTCGAGAAATACAATACAATCAAGAGCAGCGAACATTGTGTGCTACTCTTAAAATAGAAAGACTTTTAAGTCGTAGCCGAAGTATATATAATTTACCAGACATTGAATTTCGGAAATCATATCGAATGAATAAGGCTACATTAGAACGTATTATTGTAGAACTGACACCATTCTTGAAGATAAACCGTAGAAGTGACGGAATATCAGTAGAATCCAAAGTAAGAAAAATTATCTAAGACATTCAAATTAGTGTTGCTGGTGAAATTTCTATTTTCATTATTTTATTTTATAGGTTAGTTCTGCTGTTCGATTTCTTGCTCAAGGTGCTTACCAAAGAGGCGTGGGTAAAGAAACTAACATTGGCTTATCCCAGCCTTCAGTGAGTAGAGTTTTGAATGAAGTTATTGATTGTATTAATTTGCATCTACTTCATAAGTATATTAAATTTCCAACATCTCCTGCAGAAAAACAAAAAATCAAAAACTGGTATGGTTTTAATTAGAAATTAAATATTATCCTTAAATTATAATTCATTAATATACAGGTTTCGTACACGATTTCATATTCCTGGAGTAATTGGAGTAATTGATGGTTCACAAATTGGTATATTCCCTCCTTCAACTAATCATAATCAGTACCCTGAATTTGTATATGTAAATCGGAAAGGGTTTCATTCCATCAATACCCAGTTGGTGAGTAATTATTTCTGAGTATCATAAAACTTTGCATTATTTACTATAAGCTTTTTATTTTAATGAATGAATGAATTAATTAATTTAAAAATGGTAATAAATATAGATAGTTGATCATACCTACCGGATACTGAATGTAAATGCCAAGTTCCCTGGATCCACACACGATTCTCACATTTGGAAAATGTCGTTAGTTAGAAACCATTTAAGTAACACATACAGGCGTGATCATGAATGGCTTTTGGGTGATAGTGGTTATCCATTAGAGCCTTGGTTACTAACACCTTTCAATAATCCAGGAGATGGAAGCCCAGAAAGCAGGTTTAATGTTAAGTTCACTTCAGCTAGATCAGTTGTGGAACGAGCTATTGGCATGTTGAAAGGTCGATAGAGATGCCTTTGCAAACAAAGGATGTTGCATTATAAGCCAACAATTGCAAGTAAAATTATAAATGCCTGCGCAGTTCTCCACAATATTTGTATTGACAATTTTGATGCCGTTGGTGAAGATGAAGAATATGATGAACCTTATAATGCCAATGACTTAATACATTTTCCAGCAGGAAATGCTCTTCACACAGAGGGTAATAATAATCGATCAGAAATTATGGATTATATAAATCGTGTTCAATAAATAATGTTATCAAAAAAAACTTCTTTCCACTGCGTTTTCAATACACTTTGCTTCATTTTGGATACACAAGTATTATCAAAGTTATGTCAGGTAAATGGTCAATGAATGGCCAATTGTATATTCTTCACACGAAACATTACTCTATTGAAACAAAATTAAAATAATTTTTATATCATTAAGCATTTAATATTATACCTTCTACTATTGTAGAATACCTATGTACAGGAATGGGCAAGTAACTTAAAATTTAGTATCACAAAACTAAATACTTCACTTTGGACTATCGCGATACTAGATACTTGATAAATTTGAATAAAATTAGACACAAGTTTTTAAAAATTAAATTTACATTGTATTGAATTAAATAAATAAAAATAATTTTAGTAGAATATGTTATAAATGTTAAATTAAAAATATTAATTGTGATGGTAAAAAGCATAATTTTATCATATATATGTGACTTATCTTTCAGTAAAATTAATTAATGAAATACTCAATAAATTGAATAAAATGCTTACGTCAAACATAGATAATCCTGCTTCTTCTATTTCATTATCACCACTAACAACAATATTACCACCCATCAGTTTTAGAATGTTTTGATCTTCGATTGAAAGTGGTTCAATATGTAAATCAATACCTCCTCCAGTTTTTTGTTGACTATTTTTTATTTCAGCTGCTTTCCGTTTTACACGACTTCGTTGATCATTCCAATACTAAGTGCATTTACAATTCAATTATAGAAATTATTTATTTATTTTTTTATCGCCATGCCAATACATTGTATAAAATTTATCGCCACTCCAAACTAACAATGATAATACAATATGTAATATTAATTTATAAATATATATTTTTAATTAATAATTATTAATTACATTATACTTATTTTATTTATGGCGGAGCGATAACAAACAAGTACCTTAAGTTATAATAATATTACTCTAAAAGTTTGATTGAAAAAAAAATACACAAACTAACTTTTTGCCAGTCTTTGACGTTTTTTGAAGGTCCTATACGATTGAGTTGTAGTGTTAATTCATTCCATAAGTTTTGATACTTTTGGTACGTCATTTCCGCAGAAAATTTTCTAGTTCGCATTCCATCATGCTCATCTAGGAATGAGGTAATTAATTCTTTCTGCTCGTATGTAGCCTTCTTTCTTAAACTATTTTAATACAATCATTAATTTAATGTAAATTATAGGTTTAATATAATTATATGTCATCATTGGCTATAATGTCTATTGAGAATAGCGTCCTACTAAGAATGAATTATATTGATCTTATTAAAGAATTTGCTGCAAAGTAATCTTGAAAAAAAATGTTAATACTCTGTTGGTATTTGTATAATTTATTATTCTAATGATGGATTAAGTACTGTCTAAACATGTACTAGGTACTTAATAATTTAATTTGTAATTAACAAATTAAAAATGAGTAAATAATAAGAAAAACTAATAATAAACTAAAAATGTAATATTGAAAAGACAAATCTACACAAATATAGGTAAGTGGGTATCATATTAAATCTACTATTTCTCCATAGGTATAAATATTAAATGTATAATGCTATACACTAATATTATAGTAATATACTATATTATATTATACTATTATAGTGTGAAAAGGATAAACTTACTTCAATCCCGAAACAGCCATGGTAAAATAAAATAGAAAGTAGCAACGTTTAAAAAAAACTTAATGTTTTTTATAATATTACGTGATAATATTTAAAGTTAACGTCGTTTACGTCTTTAAGAGAATAGGATAAATGATAACGTCGAATGCGCTGATAATATCATAATGTTCCAATCATGCCAACTACGCTCAATGCGACCAACACGCGTTAGCAGAATCGGCCCCCAGGAAAGGTTAGCAGTTTTTTTTATTTATTTTACTCTATATCGTAATTGTAATATTGTTACATATTTTTTATAAAGACTGGCAGTTGCACTTAGTTTTCTGGCATCCGGCGATAGTTTCAGTAGTCTGTCATATTTATTTAAATTCTCAATCCAAACAGTGTCGAGATGCGTATACGATGTTTGTAGCACCTTTAATACAAGTACTAAAAGAAGAAATTAAGGTAAGAACATAAGCTTCAAATATATTATGTGGAATAATGTATTGTACAAATATTTAAGAATTTAATAAAATTAAAATTTACCTTTAAGATATAATTTTTTTTTTTGATTATAAAATATATAAATAATAAAATACATTAGGTATTACTTGACATAAGTATTAAATAGTCTCCGCTATTAATAAAATAAAATAAAAGTACCTTCTAAGCTTAAGTTAAAAAAAAAAGAACAGTGTTAATTCATGTTATTAGGGGTTTGATAATGGTATGATGATGTTGAAGGTACCACTACAGGATAACTATTATAAGTAGAATATGAAGGAGTAGAAACATGTCCCTGGAAATTTCCTACGTGGTAATCGGGTTGTAAATGTTGAGAAGACGCCGATGATGGAGGTAGTTGATTTTTAAATTGAAGTTTGACGGTCACCGTTCGTAAAGTAAACATACTGTTTCGACGAAGAAGAACCCACTGTGACGGTTCATTTTCTATGATAACCTCTATTGAATCAGCGGCAAAAAAAACGTAGTGCGGTGCGGGCAGTAAAATCCGCGAAAGGTAGAACCGTTTGGACTCCACGGCGAAAATACCGCAGTGCGTTTAGAGTCCAACTATCCGTAATTTATGGTGTATAATACCTTTTTTTTTTTTTTTCAGTTTTGAACCGACGGCGTCGCGGGAACTGCTTTCACAATACTTCCGCGAATGGTGTATAATACCTATAATATAATAACATACCTATACAGTGAAACCTCTAATGCCGGCCATTCCTAGTCACTGGAATTTCGTCCGTTATTCGGAGGTGTTCGCTATTCAGAGGGTTTAAATTGTAAAAATTTTGTAGTTGCTTCACAAGAAAACGTCCGCTATCGGGAGGTTTTCAATATTGTTATATGTCACATTTGCATATGCGCTAGGTGCTACCGTATTCCTGGTCTATAGGCGAACGAATGGTGAAAACACGAGTGTTCCCATAGCTGGTGTACTTGTCAAGTATATTGGCGTTCCTTTGACTTGTGACTCGTTTACCGACAATCCTCGGGAAATGCACCAGTGACAAATAATTGTACAAGTATACCGTTCCCACTACATGGCAAGTATACACAAGTGACGAATATTTGGCAAGTACGCCAGTCGTGGGAAACCGGCTTAACATCATTAAAATGATAAGTATTTTACATTACAAATATATATACATATAGACACATTAATATATTATAAGAACCTTTTAACTATTACATACATCAACCAATGAATTTCTTAAATTATTTTTTTTTTTTTAGGAGTTAGTCATTGTAAATTGTATTCATGTAAATTCTAAGAATCATATATTTATATAATATATATTACCTGTCTGTAGCAATAAGATTTTGAATATTTTTATTTTATAGTGATTTATTGTCCAGTAATCACTACATACTTCGTTATCAAATGGCAATTTTATGTTTACTATTTCATCACTTTGTTTCACCATCATCGAATTAATAAGTTCATTATCTACTTTCACATCTTTAATTAAAGGAGCAATTCTATCCAGATATGAAATATTCTAAAAAAAAATAATTATAGGTATTAATAATAATAATAAAAATTGTAATTTTATTTAATTTTTTTTATTATACTGTACATTTTTAATTTTTAATTTTTTTTACATAGGTACTTTTTTAACTTTTGTTTTGCACATATTTTTTTTCAATTTCACATCTCTTTTTGTTTTATTTTGTTTTTTTGTGGTCCCCGGTTTCACCTCGTTATAATTGTTCTGAAATTATATACAGTTTGGTTACTGAAAATCTAGTAAAAATATATACATCGTATTCAATACAATATAGACACAGGTATAATACTGAACCAGTGTAATACAGTATTATTCAAATATAACTATTAAATATATTATATTATAAAAATATAAATTTAAAATATATAAATATAAATTAATATTAATTTTGTACTTACATCGCTTTCAGTCATTGATTCTTCGTAATCACTAATGTTTGAATTAGAAAATGACATTTTTTTTTTTTAAATATATCTTTAACAGTAGATAATTTGTAGCTAAAATACGTTGAGTGGATTTAAGTTCTACCTCTAAAAGTGACTTGCTATTTGTATTTTCTAATCAATTTATATTATATTAAGACCAATAATAATAATAATAATATAAATAGTAATAGTAGTGGACAGCGTCTGCAATAACAAGATACGGATATAGTTTTTTTATTATTTTTTTTTATTAAACGGTAGCTCTGACCGCAGTCTTTGATAATACTGTCATATGTTATATAAACGTTTCGTCGAAGCTGATATTATATAATGTGTATTATATATATTATTATAAAAACTAATAACCATTGACCTTACATTGATAATATAATTTTTTAGGAAGTAATAATAATTTAAATCACTGTTACGTTAATGAACAGAGCTGCCGCGGTCTTTAATGTTTAATAAAAAAAAAAACAAAAAAAACATTGATAACACTGCAATATAGACGTTTAGTCGAAGCGAACATAGGCGCAAATAGTGTTTGAGATTTGGGGGGGCTGAAACTCAGGTTTAGATTGAACACTTTATTGACACTTATATTACAAAAAAATTTTCCTTACTACGTTCAGATTGTTTAGTACCAATCAAAATCAACAATTTACAATAGTTAAATATGTATGTTTTAATCACAACAAATTATTAAAAAATAAATTACATTAGTTTTATTCTTCTTTCTGTTTTAGAAAATTCGTTTAAAATATCTTCAACGTCTACAACAATATCTTTTTCTATATTAAGTATACCTAATTCATTGAACCGGTTTTGAGACATAGTAGACCTCAAATATGTATTGATCCTTCGCATTGCCGAAAATGATCTCTCACAAGTGGATGAACTGACCGGTAATGTGATTGCTACTTGAACGAGT